AGAGCATCCCCTAATGTAATAATTCTTAATTTTTTGTGTTAATGAATGCCTTTGGAAGTCTGATGAAGCCTATGAACCCCTTCTCATAATAGGTTTTTTTTAATACAAAAAATAAAATACATAGAATTACTAATGAAGCTAATTATATTACAGTTGTAAAAAATTCACAGAGCCCAGGTTGAGAATCCCTTCTCTAATGCGAGGAGGTAAATTGAACATTGTAGGTATCACTCAAACTTGGTGCATATTCCATAGCTGGAATATGGCTCTGAAAGGTATCACTTTATTCAAATGAACAGAGTAGGTAAAGGGATAGAGATCATGGTGAAGCAGGAAGATAAATTGATGTGAGGGAGGCATGGTAAATAGTATTCTAATGAAGAGCAATAGAAACAAACAGAGAAACATATTTAGGCTCAAACTAAGGAAATACTTCCTCATAATTAGTGCCATTCAAACACAAAATGGTCTCCCTCCAAAGGGAGTATGTCTCCAATACATCACTGGCTCTATCCTAGCTTCCCAACCCCATCTTACACTCCCCAATTTCTCATAATTTCCATCCTAGTCAACATAGGCCAATCTCCATTCCTTTTTCTCATCCTCTATTCCTTTGTTTGTGACTTTTTCTAGCCCTGAAATGGATTCCTCCTTATCCCCTATATCTTTTACTGAAGTCTTTCGAATCCTTCAAGGCCCAATTATGATGTCACCTCTTCCATGAAGCCTTCCTATTTGATGTCTCCTTCAAATTCTTCAGAATATTTTGTTTGGATTTCCCTTTGACTATTATTGCATTCTAATATGTATTTCACTTATTTGCATACTTTTTTTACTACTAGATAATAAGGGGGAGGTCTTATTTCATCTTTTTATCTATAGAAGCCTTCAAGTAATGGCCACTTATTGGGATACTATGCTATGGAATCTTAATCAGGTATGGGTTGGATTAGGTGACTTCTGAGGTCCCTTCTAAGTGTGACATTCTGCAATTCAGGTAGCAGTCTCCTGATTTTCTCCACCTAGCAAGCTGATTTCCTTTACCATCATTCTCTGCTCCCTTTCCCAGCTAAAGTGTTTCATTTAGTAGTTCATACAATCACAAGAGACAGCAACACCAAGCTTGTTTGGGCACATCATAAAGAGCTCCTCACTTACTCCCGTTGATATTCAGCAAATATTATCCTATGTGAAAATTAACCCAGTTCTACCTATGAGGCTCAAGGCCCAGACATGATGCTGCAGGAGGGGGCCAGAATCTTTCCAAGTGACATTTGCATGCATTTTCTCTCTGCTAGTGAGGAGAACATCACATGTGGGATGTGATCTCCATTGTCTTTGATTAAGATATAGCCCAGGCCCTTCAGTTTCCAAGCTAGTTGGAGTAGCTAAACAAATATATACATGTCAAAAGTCAAGTAATCATTCAAAATAACATTTCTTAAGTCATAATGGTGTACCCAAATGAAGATTCCAAACAATAAAGGCTTTGAGAATTCAGGAGGGAAAGCACATTGAGAGCTGAGGTGATCTCATAGAATCAGAAAGTCAGGGGGTGAAGTGACCATAGATGATAGTTGCTCCATATGCTTCATTTTACAGAGAAGGAAACTGAGACCCAGAGAGTTAAAATGTCCTTTCCAATGTTCCAAGATGATAGGATTATAGATTTAGAGCCGAAAGGGGCCCTTAGAGGTCACCTAGGCCATCAAATAAAGAAAGTGAGAAGTTATATGAATGACCCAACTTCACTTAGCTAATTAGTGACAGAGCCAAGGATTTGAATAGAAAGGAAGGAATAGAAAAAAATTTCATGAAAGAAGTGGAACTGGAGTAGAGTCTTACAGAATGCATAAGATTTAAAGAGAGAGCAAGAGAGGGCATTCCAGGCACAAGAGTGACATGAGATGTGAGTAAAGGCACAGAAACTGTAATTATTCTGAAGATGATATCTCTGAGGCTTTTGCCTGGCCTCCTTAAGTCTATGCCTGTTCTCTGGGCATCTTTGTCAGCCAGGTTGTCTCAGACCAAGGAAATTATTGAGCCGCTCTCTTCTGCTTCTCTCTAGCACTAATACCTAATGAAGCTCCCAAGGGCCCTCTACTTTGCTTGTGAAAATCAAAAGCAATAACAAATGTGAAAGTACTTCAAAAAATATGAAGCCCTCTACAAATAAAGGGATTATTATTACTAAGGCCATATTACTTCTACTCTGCTAATACCATCCCTTTCATTCCCATTTACACTGCCACAACCCTAGTTTAAGCTTCCAAAAACCCTTGCTTTGGTTGCTAAAGCGATCTTGCTAAAGCAAAGGTTTGTTGGATTATGTCATCCCACCTAATTTCAAAGACCTTCATAACCTTCTCTTCTTCTCCCTACTACCCCACTTTTCCAGTCTCCTTATACCTTATACTTTACCATGTATTTTGTGATTCTACATTCCTTGCTATTATTCCTCAAATAAGACACTCCATCTCTTGACTCCAAGTATTTTCACTGGCTGTCCCTCATACATGGAGTGCCTTCCTTCTTCATCTCTGCCTCCTGGCTTCCTTCAAGTCTCAGTTAAAATCCCACCTTCTATAGGAAGTCTTTCCCAGTCTGTCTTATTTCCAGTGCTTTCTCTCTATTGATCATTTATCCTATATATAATGTGTTTGTACATGATTATTTCTATGCTGTCTCCCTCATTATATTACGAGTTCTTCAAGAGCAGGGACTGTCTTTTACCTTTCTTCGAATCTTTTTCCAGGTATTGCTACTCCACAAGGCATCTGTTCCTTCTGCTTCAACTTAATCGCACTCCTAGAATTCTGGGGATGATTCTGGTTGCTCCTCTCCTAAAGTTCTCCCTTCTGCTTGACCCCTACCCACCCACCCACCACTTGCTCCTCACAAGCCTTTGTCTATAGTGCAGAGTGCCCAGAGAACCTACTGTGAATGCCAGCAAACCTGGAAGGGGGTAGAGAAAAGTGTGGAGATGAGAGTTTAAGTATTAATATTTTCCACTGGGTCTTGGGTAGTGGTGTTGCCCATTGAAAGAGGAGAACAACAGGATTTGTTCTATTTTTTGGCAAACTGAAAGGTGGCAATCCCATTAGTGCAGACTTTGTGTTCAGAATTCATGTGTATCCTGCTATTATAAATGAAACAACTTGAATCTAATTTAATAAGTCAGAAGTTTTTTTTTTTTCTTTCCCACTGTTTTGTCGCCATTTTAAATCCACATAAGTGACAAGCTAAATAACATTAAAACCATTCACTGCTGGATCCGACATATTGCTTTTCTTTAATTTTGCACAGAAATATGTGACTGGCATTTCCTATTCCAACAGCCAAGGAGAATGCCAGAGTAGTTAAAATTCAGAAGGCCACTTAATCAAGACCCAAACTGCTCATGTCTATCTACCATCTCTTTTTTTTTTTTTTATGTAGAGCTAGTTTGCTGTTCCAGGTTAGTTGCTTTGTCTCTCCCTCTATCTTTTCCCTGGCACTGTTTTAGAACACATATTCTCTGCTCTCACCAAACTGGTTTCTTCATTGGCTTACACTCATCATGCTTACTGCTCATTCCTGCCTCCTACATTCTCAAAGACTCTCACTTGATCAGCCCATCCCCATTAGTTATCATCTTATATCTCTCCTCCCTTTTGTGTCTAAACCCCTTGAGAAAACTGTCTACATCTTGAATTAGATGTCCTATAGCCATCTTTAAGTCAACACATCCAAAACTGAACTCATTATCTTTCCAATCCTTTCATACCTCCCTGTCCTATGCCCTGTGGACAAGAGCACCACAATCCTCCCACTCACCCAGGTTCACAACCTAGGAGTCATCCTTGACCCTTCTCCTCACCACCACCACCACCACCCCCCATTAGCCAAGTTGTTGGCAGGTTCTGTTGATTCTACCTTTGTAACATTTCTAATGTGTGCCCCTTCTGTCCTCTCACACTGTTACCATCACAGCACATGCCCTCATCACCTCAGGCCTAGACTACTACAATATTCTGCCAGTTGGTCTACCACGCCCCCTAGTTTGGGTGGCCTTTTGTTTTTTATTTAGTAGGATTTGGGGGTTTTTTGTCTTTGTTTTTTGCCTTTATATCTCCAATCCTCAGGCCTGGCACATAGAAGGCAATTAATAAATGCTTATTGACTGACTTTTTCCTCTTTCGGTAGAAAAAGCGCTTTGTAAACTGTAAAGTGCTATTGAAATTGGTTACATGGGGTCAAAGTGAGGAGTCAAGCAAATGATTATATATAATATGTATATATATTATGTAATCATTGATATAAATATAATCAAATATTGTTGATTTACAGATTTTTTTATCTCTACATCTTTACAGATTTATTTTACATTATTCTCTCTCGTACACTCTGCAGTCTAGACTACTTCCTGTTTTCTGTGGTGGTCTATCTCCCACTTTATGCTTTTGCACAGGCTTTCCCCCATGATTGGAAATTCTCCTCCCTCATCTCTGCTTTTTAGAACCCCTCACTTTAGAACCACCCCTCATTCAATGATCGGCTCGACTTCTTCCTCCTGTAAATCCTTCCTATGGTTGCCATAGATCCGCCTTTGAGGAAACCAAATTTAGTGTTCTTTAAGACAGAACTAAAGTAGCATTTGATCACCCTATTTGACTGAAAACTCCCTGAGGGCAGAGGCAGCCCTTTGGCTTTAAATGGTCACACCTAAGGGTGACCTGGTTAATGTTTAACAACTGACTCTAAAAAAAAAATATATAGGACACACTTTCAGTTTTACCTGCACTATTAACATTTTCTCCATCACTTTGTTAAGTCTAGACAATCAACAAAACAATAAATAATTTATAGCATTTGCCCATTTCTGAGGAGTAAACACTTGACTCCCTGAAGATGGTTCAGGCTGACTCCAGCACACTCCTGTACACTTCCCTATTTATTACATCTATATGGGATTCTGCCACAGTGGACTAATGGCCTGTCTTTCCATTTGTTTCTCTAAGGCCATGAAACAAAAGCTATGCTGAACAACAACGGCCCGCGGTACAAGCGCAGCAAGATGGAGCGTCAGATGAATATCGACATTTTCTTCTGTGTGTGGATTCTCTTCCTCATGTGCCTCATTGGAGCTATAGGTATGGAGCATTCAGGAAAACACCAACTCCTATTTGCAAAGCACTTTGCAACCCCAGACCCTGGCCAAAGGGGATGTTTCACGTGATCATAAGGGGCAGAGCTGGAATAGCCCCCTAAGGTTACCTAATATAAACCTCTCATTTTTTGCAGATGAGAAATCTTGGGTACAATGTTCTAAATTCATGCAAGTAGTAAATAACAGAATCTGAATTAAAATCTGGATCTTCTGACTTTAAATTCACAAAAAAGCTACGCTATCAACAGTTACAATTTTTACCTTCTTACTAAGGGCACCAAATACATCTGAAAGAGATTACTCTAAATTATGGATTGAAAAGGTAGGCAGCATCTCTCCCCCTAGCTTTTTGTTATTATTTTAATTGTTCCCTGAATGAAATCCGATGAACAAGCATTGTAGTACTTACTATCTGCCAATCATTATAGTAAGACAGTTAGTCAATAAACATTTATTAAATACTTACTTTGTACCAGAAACTGGGCTAAATGATTGGGATACAAAGAGAGGCAAAAAAAAAAGTTTCTCCTTTCTAAGAGTTCACATTCAAATGGGGGAGACAACATGTAAATAATTAGGTAGCTACAAGATACATATATACAGCATACTAAAATCTCAGAGAGGAAGGGACTAATACAGGGGTGTAGAAGGGGAGGCCACAGGTTCCCCACCCTTGGCTGGCAGCTGGAGGCCTGGGGAAGGCCTCCCACAGAAGGTGGGATTTGAGATGAGTCATAAAGAGATAAAAGGAAGAAGTGAATATGGGAAGAATTCTAGACTTAGGGAACAACCAATGCAAAGACATAAAGAGAGGAGACAAGACATAGTGTCATATATGAGGAAAAACAGGCTAGTGTAGTTGTTCATGAAGGGGAATAAAGTCTAAGAATGGACAGTTAGGAAGGGACCAGGTTGTGAATGTTGAGTAGAAAATGTTGCATTTGATCCTGGAAGTAATAGGGAACCACGAGAGCTCATGAGGGCAGCTAGGTGGCAGAGTGAATATAGTGCTGGCCCCAGAGTCAGGAAGACTCCTCTTTGAGTTCAAATCCAGCTTCAGACACTTAGTAGCTGTGTGACTGTGGGTAAGTCACTTAACCCTGTTTGCCTCAGTTTCCGCATCTGTAAAATGAGCTGGAGAAGGAAATGGCAAACCACTCCAATATCTTTGCCAAGAAAACCCCAAATGGGGTCATGAAGAATTGGGCATGATTGAAGCAACTCAACAACAACAAGAGTTCATGGCGGGGCGGATTTTGGGGGGTGTGGGCTAGGCATACAGGGTGTTTGACATTGTCAGAGCTTCACTTTAGGACTATTACTTTGGCAACTGAATGGAGAATAGATTGGAATGGGGAGAGATTTGAGACTGGGTGACCAATTAAAAGGCTGTTGCAATAATTCAGGCAAGAATTATTTAGAGACTGTGCCAGAGAGATAGTTGTATGAGTGTATGGAAGGGGGTGTCTACAAGAAATTTGGAAAGGCATAAACAAGATTTGCCAACAGATAACTTGGTTACATAAGATAAAATTGAAGAGTCAAGGAAAACACTGAGATTATGAGCCAGGATGACTGGGAGGATAGTGGTACCCTCAAAAGCAATAGGGAAATTGGGAAGAAGGGAGGGTTTGAGAGGGTGGGGAAGATAATGAGTCCTGTTTTGGATGTGTTGAGTTTGCTATTCCTATAGGACTTACAGTTTGGGATGTCCAAAAGGCATTTGGTGATGTGGGACTGAGATCAGGAAAGAGATTAGACCTGGATATCTTCCCTGCAGAAATGATAATTAAACCTTTGGGAATTAATGAGATCACCAAATGAGAAAGTATAATGGAAAAGGTGAAGAGGGCCCAAGGCTGAGCCTTAGGGGACACCTATGGTTAGCTAGCACTATTTGGATAAAGAATCTTTAAAGGAAACTGAAAAATAACAGTCAGACAGATAGGAGGAGAATCAAAAGAGAGAAGTATCACAAAAACCCAGAGAGGAGAGAGTATCCTGGAAGAATGGGTGATTTACAGTGTCAGATACTACAGAGAAGTCAAGAAGAATAAGGAATGAGTAGCAGCCATTTGATTTTGGCAACTAGGAAATCACTGATAACTTTGGAAAGAATAGTTTCAGCTAAAGGGTGAGTGCTGAGGGTGCAAAGACAAAAATGAAACAGCCTCTCCCTTCACAGAGTTTACAATCTAGAAGGACATAACACGTAGAGATACAGACATATAGATATAGATATCTGTATGTACACAAACATATACACACATATGTAAGTTGTATGCATAGACATATTATACATATATAAATACACAAATACACAAAAAAAAATACACCAAAGAAATAAGGCAATTTTGGAAGAGAAGACTGGGCCTTGATCCCTAACTGGGGCTATCAAGAAAAGCTTCCTGTAGAAAGTGGCACTTGTGCTAAACTTTATCAGAGATTACATCAGAGTTCTCCTCTACTGGCATCCCAAGCACAAAGATAAAAGAATTGGGACCCACCATAAATGAACCTTCTTGGATTACCTTCTTTTTCCCAATTAGTATGACACAGTGCCATCCTATTTACCATGCCACAAAGCAATCATCAACAATATTTGATTATATTTACATAAATGATTATATAATATATATACATACTATATATAATCATTTGCTTGACTCCTCACTTTGACCCTATGTAACCAATTTCAATAGCACTTTACAGTTTACAAAGCATGTTCTTCACACAAACTCTGAGAGGTAGATTGGGAGCAGCATGTCAATTTTATATATGAGAAGAGTGAAATTCAGAAAAGTGAAATCTAAACCCTGAGTTTTTCTTGATCTCATGACTTCATCTTCAAATATTTCCACAGCAGGGAGCCAGCCAATCCATGTGGCAAAACCCCTTAGATTTTCTTCTGTGGTGGCCTTCTGGTTCACCCAACTTCCTTTCTTAGAGCTCTGAAATATCATAACAAAAGAATATTTTAATAATACCTTTGATAACTGTGTTAATTGAAAACCCCAGGCAGTGCAGCAGAATAAATCCTATTACCTGGATTAGGGGAGGGTACAAAGCATCAGGAGGCATCTCCTCTCCCACCTCCTTCCCAAAACCTCAGCCTCTCAGAACGCTCCTCTAGTTTCTAATGTGGTACATGGCATTATATCTGCCAGGGGAAGCACTTCTCCCTGCCACCTTTCTGGGTCTAGGCTAACAGCGCTATGGTCATACTATGTCTGCTTCTTCCTTGTTGGGGCCACCGGGGCTCCTTGTAAGCCTCTGCATGTTCTTTGGAGAATGATAAAGGTGAAAACATTTTCTCTTTTCCCCTTTATGGGTGAATAAGTACTATATGAATTAAAGTGCTCACCACTGTAATCTATAAAAGGGCCACAGGTTTCATCTTTCTACCTCTCTATATACAGATAAATATGTATGCATATATGTCTATACATATATGTGGCAACTAGGTAGCACAGTGGATAAGGTGCTGGGCCTAGAGTCAGGAAGATTCATCTTCCTGAGTTCACATTTGGCCTCAATTTGGTCTCAGTTTCCTCATCTGTAAAATGATCTGGAGAAGGAAATGGCAAACCACTTCAATATCTTTGCCAAGAAAACCCCAAATGGGGTCACAAAGAGTCAGAAGTGACTGAAACAACTGAACAAATACATATATGTGTATTTTTCACTTTCATTTCAAAAAACTAGATTCTCTTTTCCAGGGATACTCTCCCTTCTTTAGAGATTCTTAGAAAGATGGAGCTAGAAGATGCCTTAGAAATAATCTAGTCCATTCCCCTCAACTTTCAGATGAGAAATTGAGGCCCAGAGAGATCGTATTACTCACCTAAAGTCACACAGGTAGTTAATGACAGAATTGGGTCTAGAACCCAAATTGTCTGACTCCTAGACCAGTGCTCTTTGTCCTACATCACACCAACTTTCAATTTAGAAAATATTATCTATCCTTTCAGGCCTAACAACTCTCATCTTCATGAATCTTTCCAGAACTACTCTAGCTCATAGTGACTCATCCCTCCTCCTACAGCGACTATCACCTATCCCTCTCACTTGGCACTTAATCACTTATTTAAATATTGTTACTGTTTTATGTGTGTTCCTTCCCGCAATTGCTTGGCCCAAATAGCTCTCATTGAAAAAAGTGCCTGGGCAGGGGGTAGGAAGCAGGGGAGGCCTCAACTTGAAGGAAACTCCCAAGTAATAACTAAATCTACTGAATGGATGAATAGATGAATGGATAGGTAGACATATGATAGATAGATAGATAGATAGATAGATAGATAGATAGATAGATAGATAGATAGATAGATAGA